TTGGAAATGATCGACTCAAATAGATGCTCATCATAAGCTTTTTTTTTCCTCCTCTTCCTGTTCTATTGATCAGAAGCATCCAGTAGCACCATTAAGTAGTGGAGTTCTCATCCAGATTATCTACTCTGGTTAAAATCTTATCCTTTAGCCTTACCTTAAAAAGGCATCGGATTGTACTCCTCCCTCATGGAGCTCATCCCTAAGGCGATAGAGCTCTATTAAGTAAGGAAGGTTCCCCCCCGGTTCTGACCGCACGGGGATTGTCCAGGGCCCTTTGTTTACTCCCCGTCCCGAAAAAACCAATCGCCACTTGGTTCCGAATCAAGGACTGCCATCTGCTGGATAATATCCACCTTGACTTCGAAGCGGTCTTGGGCGTTAATATGGGCCAAGTTAATTTCCTCGGCAGATGGTTGGGCCTTGGATCTTAAGAGTCGTGTCCTTATATCTAGAACACTCTGTCCCCCTATCATTTCATCTTCCTGATAGGGGTAGGCTACGACAGGTCGAATATCCGCTTCCCCGGGAGCGACAGGATTAGCGGGAGGAACAGGCATTCCCTTCCCTCTGGCGGCTGATTCACGGAGCCCGTGCCTGAACTTGTTGACGTAGCAGGATCCAGCAGGTCCGTCCACCCAGACCGGATCAAAAGGAAGTACGTAACACAGGGAATGAAGTAGAACGAAGGAAGTAAAGTTGTTGTACAGCCTAAAGGCAGAACATGTTAAGACATAAAAAACGATGAGCCATTTCCTAACCAAAGAGAAAGAGCCCGCTGCAACTTGGGCCTTGTTAGATATAAGCAAAATATCTTTATTTTGAAATCAAAAGGAAAGAATCGAACAAGAATATAGAAAGTAAAGAGGAAAAGGCAGAACCAGAAAAATTGTGTGAAATAAGTGAATTTATCCAGTTGAGGCATGATTGATTGACAACAAATGATTCCCTCCAGACAGCTTAAGTCAAGCCTGCACGGAGTAGTGAGGAATTAAGTATAGTGAGTTGTGGTTGTTGACCAACGGAAAGCATGGGAGAAGATGCACAGAATATGTGCATCTCACAAAATTCTTTTCGATCTTGAACTACGATAGACTGAAGACGAACCCAATTTCGATAAAAGGTGAAGTCGAAGCTACTCGATCATTCAACACGGACAGCATTTCTCTACGCTAGGATCCAACCCGCGCTGCCAGCTTTCTTCTCTTATGATTTTTCTAGTTAGAACCTTTTTTACCTTACCATAAGGATCGAAGACTAAGACCGGAAATTCTGCATCTCTTCTCTTGGACATCTCACTTGAAATGCAATCATTCTTTTCGATCTTATACCTAAACTTTTTTACAAAGAAGACCAAGCCAATCAGCTCAAAAGTTTAGTTGCAAAAGAAAGTTCACTACGAACGAGAGAACGAAAAAAGCTAGTCGGAATCGGAAGAGGAAGAGGAACGGAAGGATAGTAGAGGAGATGTGGAGGAGCTTTCGTTGGGGAGCCCCTCTTACGCTATTCTCAAACGGGAGATCGGGATCGGTATCGGGGGGGAGCTCTTGGTCCGAGGAAGAGGGAAGTGGGTACTCCGAGGAACGGAGCCTACCTCGTCGAAGCTCTTTCTGACCCATTTAGACTAAACTGAGACCAAACTCACAAAGAGAGACATGGAAGAATGCGGCGTAGATTAAGGGGAGGAACTAGCGCCCCCGAGTCTAGAGTTGCTATTCGAAGAAGTGACTTTAGAGAATATTTCCATCTTTCTCCCGTCTGATCTTAAGAGAACTGGGGAAGATGCACTGTAATGAAAGTAATTCTATTAATCTATTAATAAGACATTTAATAACTGACTTGCTAAGTAAGATAGCAAGGTCTTTCCTCATTGTTTTCCGTGAGATTGAAAAAGCAGTCGATTTTGGATGCGGAAAGTTTCATGTATAGATAGATGAGTAGTTCGTCTTCAAGTTACTAATATGGACCCAGGGAGCCAAAGACTATAGCAATGTGCAGATTCTCCGAGACTAGTGATTTTCAGAGAATAGAGTATGTGTTTCCTGCTGTTAACTCACGGAATTTTATTGTTCGAATTGCATGCAGGCGATTTGGCCCATTTTATCTTTCCTCTTTATATACTAATTTACATAATTAATAAGGGCTAAAGCACATACATATAGAGAGGTGCAAAGGACAGATGTGCCAGTTATCTAATCATTACCAGGATCTGCCAGCGGTATTTGATTGAAATAGATTAATAATAACGCGTTATAGTAACTTCTAACTTCATCCAATCCACTACCCATCCAATGCCTCTCCGACTCCTGACTCCGCTTAGTCATTAATAAGCCGATGAGCCATACCGGTGAAGCAAGCCTACCGATGACCCGACTCACTCAAAGAATGGATGAGAAGCATGAAATCCCTGTAGATCGTTTCATTTTTCCTTTCTCGCAAGCAGGAATCGAACCTGCGCTAGCGGATCAAGTCACAAGCTTATAGACATAAAAATTATAATTTTTTTTTTTGTTACATCTGTGGAGGCCCATAAGGGCCAGAGAGGTACTACACTCCGATTACACACAGAAATAAAAGACTGATAGCCCTACCGATGAAAGAGAGATAGTGATTCGTTGATGTTGATGAAAGAAATGATTGGTTTAACTTTCACGGCATGGAGCTGAAAGCCTCCGACTAGGCGAACCACCAGACCAAGCCAGACGAGAAAGAGAGAAGGAACGACAGGGAACGGTAAAGGGAAGAAAGGATGATTCTAATTATAATGCTTAAAAATCAACAACTAAAACTGAAGCTCTCACAATCTTTAAGAAAGGGCTATTTTATAGCTGTCAAAGCACGATAACAGAATGATAGGTCAAGACCTGACGTACCAGCTTACTTAGTATTGGACTGAATTTAGCGGCCATTCAGAGCCTTCTTTAGTCTTGCTGCATGACGAGCTATTCAATCAGGAGAACCGGCTTTCTTTTATGTCTTCCTGTTTCAGGTAGCTTGCTTTAGTTTTATTCCTTTCCCAGAAAGAAGCATCATGAGAGTTAGCGGTACAGGCCATAGCTGTGCTTAGGGGCCCGGTCAATCAATCAAGGGCGCGAGCCTCTATGCACAAGGCTACTCTGCAGAGAGAAGTTCCAACCACGAATGAATGCATGGCGAGTCTGTCAACTCACTAACGCTCGCGACTCCCGTAGGTCGACTACCTTACCTTCCCCACTCACCAACACCTCTCGTGCTTCCATGCCCACCTACCTCGTGGAGTATACTCCACTCGTTCTCTCCTTTCTTTTGCCCCTCTTTAAAGTAAAGCTGCTTCTTAGAGTTGGCTTTTGCAATTGCAATCTGTCTCTGGCTCCTCGCTTTGAACTAAAATAAGACCTTCTTTTGGTCGAGTGACTCCGTTCCTGGTCTTCCTATTCCCTTCGCTTCCCGCCTCTAAGGCCCAAGTACTTTTTTTTTTTAAACCGCAGTGATAACCAGGTCAAAGAGTCACAGAGATATGCCCAATACCTCTACCCAGTATGAGGGTCAGTATCCCTTATAGGAGCAAAGTTAAAAGGTAGCCTTGAGAAGTGAACTTCCGCCCTTAGATGTGGTTGATTCGGGTAACCTTGTGGTTTCATCCCAGGTTACTGATGAGTGTAGAGGTGTCTTTTCACTTCCGCCATATTCAGGGGAAGGGATATCCTCGCCCACCTTCTCGACGCCGCCTTCTTCAGGAGGCATTGCAATGGAACCTCTTGTTAGATCCGGACAGGGGAATTGACTTGCAAAGAGCTTATTAGCCTATTTTTATTGCTAACTAGTTGTCCAATCCAAACCTCTTTTTGTAATTGCATATGCCCCCTTTTCTTTTCCCTGTATTGAAGACTTTTGTTCTATTCAATCAAAGGGTAAGCCTATCAACTTTCAGTGCCATTTATATATATAAATTGTCTTATCCTAAGGCCTAAGGGAAGGGTATAACGATCGAGTCCCATAATGGCATTAAAAACAAACAGTCCCAGAAGTGGGAATAGCTGTAGCCGTCTCAGTAGTCTCATTGGATGGGTAGTCTTTCAAGAGAGCTAGGGAACGGCACGAAAGCGGTTGGAATAAAGGAGTCTATAATCTCACTCCAGCCAGTCTAAGAGGAAGAGACTATCATACAGAAAGGCAAGATAAAGATATTCACTCGCCTGAAATGGCATTATTCATCTAACTAACTCATGGCTGATGGCTTTCGGAGAGTCACACTCAATATGAATGCTCCCACTCCGTGCCTTAGGCTGGTCAAGCCCGGAGGCATAAACCAGGAAACTCGTACCGGAGATACCCCGACCGAATAGGATCGTACGATGACCGATCCTAGAACACGGTAGTATACCTACCATATTCCGATTCCATTTTCCAACTTCGTCGAATAACCTCCACATTAACCCAAAACGAGTTAATAGGGGGTCTTCAGTTCTCACTTTCCAGTGATGCTGAACGACAGGAGCGGAAAGGAACCTCTCAAAGGGTAAGGCCAGGTTTAACGCGTTGGTATAATACCATTGAACTCCGTTCAACCACTGCTTCATCCATGCCCGGTTTTAGCAAGGCAAGGTATACTCAGAAAAGTGAGCAGAAGCCACATCTTGATAGAGTGACTCTGGCATCACTACGAGATCCTTGGGCTTATAAGCTCTTTAAAGAATATCGGTAATATATCCTTTAAGAAAGATAAGGGTCAAGGGGAAGACCGCGGCCTACTCACAATTCAAAAGGTAATCTGAGTTTGTCCCACACAGCCCTCAACCGTTGGTATCGGGCGGATAACGGGTGGTTAAGTCTTGATAAGACTTTAAAACCAGCACCGTAAATCCTAGCGAGTATGGCAAATCAACGAACACTATAAGTGTTAGCGACTGCCATAGCTCCTGCTATGTGATGGGAGTTAAAGAGGTTTTGGAATGAGACTGGAGATAAATCAACAGTCAAACCCCTAACCCTAAACTTCTTAGCAAACTCGGCACACCCGATCTCTGAGACCAAAGACTTAGGTAATTAAACCTGTACCTTTAAAGTCTCAAGAGCATCGCGGTATACCTTGGCCACCTTGGAGTCTGCAATACAGATGTCATCGCCAAGGATGGCATACCTAGTGAAGCGCTTACTTGGGTACACTTGCTCAGCACACCACCATACCAAATAGTAATGGGAAAGTGTGAAGAGCGGCCAAGAAGCGTAGTAACCTAGAGGTTGCCCTGTTCTAAAGAAAGCAGGGAAATACCCCCTTCCAGTGCAAGGCGTTGGGGAGACATCCACTTCTTCATGATGAAAGGTACATCAAACGGTACCAATATATATAAGAAGCGGATGTAGTCTGAAACAAAGGGACCAAAGAGGGTTAAGACTATACATAGTTGATACCAAAGCGGCCACCTATCGGTGGCAGACTTTAGATCATACGAGTATACCTGAATTGAAGACCTCAAGCGATCCAAAGGACGGACCTGGTCAAAGGTCCCATCCATAGGGATACGCCTTAAGACTTTCATGATAAAATCATAAAGAGGTCTAAGGGTCCTTTGAAAGATAAAATTCCCAATTGCAAACACTCTCCTTTTACCAGCTCCAGAGTCTGTCGTGTAGGCGAGCCTACCAGGAGATTCCGCCTCATCAAGAGGAATAAGCGGAAGTTCCGCTCGGGCCTTCTCAACGAAGATCCTAGTATCCTTCTCTGAACGATAGGATAATTCAATCTCAGATGTTAGAGAAAGGATAGCGAACACCTGGAGTCCAAAGAGGAACCCCAAAGACCTCGAAAGTTGCAGATAGCAACTCCGGGCCAAACCGTTCAAATGACGATTGGTCAGGCATGTACGCGATGAAAGCTTCAAGCTCACGGTGTAAGATTGCGAATGGGGATCCCTTCTGGTCCTTCGAGAGCTTACGTTTCGAAGGAGAAGCTTTCCACGAGGGTAACCACTCAATTCCCTGTTCAAGGGGAATTTCAGTGATATCTGGGATATACCTAGTAACTATATCCTTCAATGGTTTTACCATATCTTTTATGGCAAACATCATCTCATAGGACGTAGATTCGGTCAATATAGAGTCTAACGAGTCACTCCTAACTTCCCTTGCGCCTGGTTAAGAAGGGTCCAATCCCAGCTTCTGAAAAAAAAATAGTGAATTGACTAAGCTAACCCTGAGTTCGCAGTCGATTCGGCAACAGGAAAAGCAAAGACTACCGCCAGTTACCCATAGCTGATCTACGACTCACTAAAGGCTCCATTCTAGTAATTTTATCTAATTCCGTAAAGATAAGAAGAGAGGATGATTATGCCCCAATCCCGATCAACCCAGGTTTTCTTAACTTAAATAGTACTGGTATTTCACAGTTAGAATGGGCAAGTTAGTCTTGGCTTTCCTACGGTTAACTTCGAAAAGAGGGTACTGGGCAAAGAGGAATATCTAATAACTAAGACGGTAAGCTATTTCTTTCTCTTGCTTTATGACATATGTCAGCTGCCCTCTTTTTGACCGTGGGTGGGAAAGTTAACTTTGTAAAAGTCCTTATTTGGTTGGGAAAGAGAGAACTTCTGACTCCAAGCCTACCCTACCCGAAAACAAGTTTAAGCTATTGATGTAGCCTCTTGTCGCTACCTACTAGATAAATCCCTTCTATACCACTCAACAGAAGGAAAAATCCCATCAAGATAGATCGACGACCTATACTTCAACTAAAGGCACAAGGAAATCAATAGTTCAAGAGCACAAAAGAGAGTAGTCGGAAAGGAAAATCCATTCAATTTGAGCCTGATCCCGCGCCTCTTCTCTTATAACTCATCCACCAAGTCAAGGTTGATTCTTAGTTCTTCGGCATTTTCTTTATCGTTGAAACTTTCAACTCTGTAGCTTGGCATTCCTATCTCCACCGGTACCACTGCTTCGGTCCCAAAGGATAGGGGTCTCTCCAGTGGATGTTCGACTCGTAGTCCGGTAGACCCACAGTATACTAGGCAGCTCATCTGCCCATAGCCCCTTTGCCTTATCTAATCTAGTCTTGAGCCCTTTCAGTATGGTGCGCTTGGTTACCTCAGCCTGACCATTTTCTTGGTTGGGTGGTTGGGGATGACCTACCGAGGTGAACCCGTGTTCAATGCCAAGTTCTGCGCAGAAATTTCTTCATGAGCTGTTATCAAATTCATTGTCGGTAACTAAGATCCGCGGTACCTCGAAGCGGCACACAATAGACTTCCAAACAAAGTTCTGGGCCTTCCTCTCCATGATCTTCTCTGCTTCTACCGACTTGGTAAAGTAATCAATTGCCAGAATTCGAAACTTTCTCTGACCGGTGGCAAGAGGGAAAGGGCCTATCATATCCATCCCCCACTGTGCGAAGGGCCACGGACTTAGGATAGGGCTAAGTGGGGCTGATGGTTTATGTTGGAGGTTGGCCTGCCTTTGAAATTTTTCACACCGGAACGGAAGACAAGCGCTGTAGCATCTTCCTGATGACTCGGCCTGTAGTAGCCCTGTCTCAACACTTTCAGACTTAGCCAAAGATCGTCCTCCGAGATGATTCCCACATATCCATTCGTTGACTTCCCTGAGCACGTAATCTGCCTCGCTTGGGCGTAGGCATCGGAGATATGGAAGGCTGAATGACCTCTTGTAGAGCACATCTCCCATGAGGGTATACCTTGCCGCCCTGTAGGCGACCCTAAGTGCCTAATTTTTCTCTTCTGGTAGCTTCTATTCCCGCGGATAGTCTTTTATTGGATCCATCCAACTTAACTCAAAATCCACGGGTAGCATTTCATTCCCCTCTTCTATGCTTCTTATCAAGAGTGTCTCTACCAGCACAGATTGGGTCAGGTGGTTTAGGAGATTCTTGAGAGAGGTGAGCAATTTTAATTTTCTGCTTACTTTATTCAGTAGGTTTTGCAGGCGCCTCAGATGGTTCAGAGTGCCCTCTTTAGCATGCAAGTTTACTGGAGTACTGTGTTCTGCCGGTGCAGGTTTTGATTTGAAGACAATTGAGAAGATCTGCATAGGGTTCTTATGGTCTGGTCCTGATATGGTTAAGAACAAAGGGAATGTTGCTTGGAAATTTGCTGCCCTTTAAATTTAAATAAGGTGGTTTCGGGCTTCATTGGTGGAGTGGAATAAAGCTGCTATGTTGAAGCATATCTGGGTTCTGGCTGCAAAAAGTCCTTATATCGAGTCTAGGTATGTATAATACATACAATGCTTCTAAAAAATATAAGCATTTTGTTGGTGTATTTAACCACCAAATAATGGTAGCTGGATTTGTAGGAAACTTTTACAGGTGAGAGAGTTGGCTATAAGATTTATTATACATGATGTTGGCAATGGAACCAATACATCTCTCTGGTATGACTCTTTGCTGCCTATAGGTTCTATAGTTGAAAGGTATGTATGGTGAGCAGATCATAGGGGAGTCTGGTGTTCAAAAAAAATGTAAAAGTTGCAGACATACTTTATAATTCCAGATGGTCCCTCCCTGCGGGTGAAAATAAAGATCTGCAAGAAATTGCGTATAGCAAGAAGAATCATTCTATCAGACTAGTCTCTATCATTAAGCGTGAAAAGCCAGCGCCCAAAGGACATAAAAGAAAGCCGGTCAACGTCTGGTAGAACAAGCCGTACTCAGCTACAGACAGGGTTCATCCTCCGGGCTTATGATAACCAATGCTTCCTACGCTCCAGTCAACAACAACACCCGTGAGTCAGGAGCTACCTTTGGGTAAATATCATCAGTCATCACTGAACCTTAGGTACGGATAGTATAAAAAGATATCTGTTTTCATTCTATGACAGGTTCTTCTTAAGAGATGTAGTTTCGCCGCCTTTATACAAATATCCTTTAACGAATTGCCCGATTCACAGTGCCTACCTTATTCTCTCCCCAATCACACTGGAATGCTCACTTGTCCGCCTACCAATGATAGCCTTTCAAACCTAATTCCAATATTGATAGAAATGTGAAGGAGACCCACATGCCCACTTCTCCTTCCCCGCCCCATTTCTTTTCTTGGACGGGCCTCGTCCTCTTCCTCAGGTAGGAGAGACTACACCTTTCAAAAGGAGAAACTTAGAAAACAAATAGAATCAAAAAGGCCATCATTAATGCGAACAAGGCAATAGCCTCGGTTAGAGCAAAGCCCAGGATTGCATATCCGAATAACTGTTTTGCCAATGATGGATTTCTTGCCACGGAATGAATTAAGGAACTGAATACGTTTCCAATACCTACAGCAGCTCCCGCTGAAGCAATTGTAGCAGCTCCGGCACCCATTGATTTTGCACCTTCTAACATCTCGAATGGATTCTCGTCACGCTTTTTCATTCACGATTTGATGTTCTCGTCGCTTCTTCCCCTCGTTCCTTTTATCTTGGACATCTCACTTGAAATGCAATCAATGCATTCATTCTTTTCGATCTTGTACTCAGGTACACTGAACACCAAGCCAATCTCGACAAAGTAAAAAGTGGAATCGATTCGATCATTCAAGTCGGATAGCATTTATCGACGCTAGGATCCGACCTACGTTAACAGCTTTCTTCTCTTATTATATTTATAGTTACGGATCACATCACTCCTAAATGCGGCCTTGATCTTATATACGATACCATTCGCCATGTATGATACTCTTCAAAGAGACAAGAACCTATTCTTGTTCCAATCGAATCATTTGAGGAAAGCCCACTCTCGCTTCACACTTGCTATATTCGCCTGAGCCCATGGGCTCATGAACATAGCGAACTTCAACTTATCTTATATGATAATTATCAATAAAATACAACTACTTTATATATAATAGATATTCTGGAAAAGTAGAAAGTCATTGAAGGTATCCCTGACTTTCTTTTTATTCGTAAGACTCTCGAGATTCAAGATTGAGGAGGGTTAATCTCAATTATCCAGGGGTCAGACAATGCTACTTTCTCCTTGAACCTAAGGTTGATTCTTTCTAAGAAAAGTAAGTAAAAGGCCCCTGTCTTATTTCAATGCTTTGCTTTGAAAGCGCTAGGCCCCTTGAAAACAAACAGACTTTTTGCGATTGTTTAAGTCTTATGTTATGGGATAACATAAACAAGTATGCCTCTATCATTGCCTTTTGTTTTAGTTTGAATAAGCTATGTTGGTGCCGAGGACACTAGTAGATGCCCAGAAGGAGCTCTGCCGAAAATCGGATTATAATGAAAGTCTTACTAGCATTGGCGGCTTAAGTGGAAAACTGGTCCTATCCTAATATATATAAGATAAGGAAGCATCCGACTTCTTTTTCATAGTGCACATTTTAAAGAGTGCCAATTGATGCAGAGAAGGAGCTGTTCTCGCTGTGAACGAATGGGCTCTTAGTACTAATCCTAATGCAAGCAAGAAGGGGAAGGTTCATGTCATCTTCTAAATAGAAACCTGGGCATCTATCTAAAAAATAGTCAATCTCGAATACAAGCTGAGAGGGAGAAGGCTTCCTGCGTAGGCAGATTAGAGCAATCCAATTTATTCAAAAAATCGGACTTATCTTTCCTCCTCCTCGAGGATGATGGATCCGGGGAGCTACTCCCATATGTGCCTTTCGACCTGAAGGCCGATTGGGAAATGGCTCCTTGCTCGAATTTCTTTTCTAGTCGGGGTCTTTGTTCGGCCTGCCCGCCCGCGTTAAACAAAGAGCATGAAAGTTCCTCAATTGTTTGGTCAAGAGGGGAGGGGTCCTTAACCGAAAAGGCCCTTCTCTCAGGACTGGATGGGACTGATCTAGGAGTAATTTTTGTCATCTTTGTACCGACTTCTACATCACGATTACTTTAGAAAGCTTATATAAAAACCCTTCCTTCTATTCTTTTTTTATAAGTCAAGCTGGCTAGCCAAAGCTTCTTGAATGACCAACTCTTGCTCGTCCTTTTGGCCCTTTACTTTGAGTTCACCAACCGAACATGACATGACAGTTCTTCCATTCCTCATGCATTCAATAATAGGTCTGGTTTGGTGCTTTCTACGATACTTAATTGTACGATCCTTTAAAGTCTCCGGTGCTGCTCCTGGCAACAAAATTAAGGCCGACACAAGACACAACCGCAGCAGTTCGACTAATAAGAGCATGCTTCCTCCTACTCACGAAATTTATTTGAAGTTCTTTGCCTCGGGTTATTAATGCGGATGGAACACGGTCAGTCTACGCAGTGGACAGGGTGATATCACGAACTAACAAAGCTGAATGGATAGGGATAGCTCGCTTACTACCTTCTGGTCTCATCCAGCTTCTACAAGCTGAGAATTTATTATAGCGTAGGGGTGGAAAAGAGCAAGAGTGCCCGCTAGAATCTTCTTTCACAATCGCACATCCATCTCCCTGCATCAAAGCCTTCTTGTTTACCGATCTGCGTAAAAGCTTTATGTTTTAGTACTGGCCTTCCTCTCGCTCTTCTTAAACTACCCGTCCGATCGCTTTCGTTCATCAAAAGGAGCATTGCCAAATATGTGGATTTGCCGAGGTGCCCAACATTCCTGACTGATGGATGTCTAGGTCTTCCCAAAGATGTACTTTCGGTGTCAAGAAAAGATCCTGCTAAACCAGAATCAGGGGATCCGCTCAATGGTCTATTTGAGATACCGTGCCCGATTCTAAGAAATGGAAGAAGTTGCTTGACCTTATCCTTGTGACCTACGAGCCAAGAATGAATAAAGAAAAAGAAAGAGAGTTATAGGTTACTAGTTAAAGACAAGAGAAGAAGCAGTCAACGGTTACCAGTTGCGTTAGCCGTGTAGTTAGCAAACGGTACTCGAGGAACAGGCTTAGTCAGAGATTCAAAGAGTATGATGGGCGATACCCTTTGCTTTCTAAATCTCATAACATGAGGACCTGTCTTTCTCTTGCTAGTCAAGAATGCATTCCTCTTTCCTTAGAGATCCCTCTTAGAGATAGAGAGAGCGGTAACCTAGCCTGCCATAATAGATAGTCCCATCCCCGGTCTCCAGTTAAGAGAGGAGTACCCAAGTCTAAAGCCAGTAGCTAGCCCCGAGGGCAACCCTAGCCATATGATCCCCTTTCCTAACTTTTTCGTCGACTTAAGCCTTACTTCCCAATGACAAAATAGATATCTTGTCCTGCAGAGATTGGCTCTATTATATAAGTGAATAGATCAAAGCCCTTTTTCATGCACGAGCATCCATCGCAGACTGGCCTCTTAAACTAAACAAAGAAGGAAGAAAGAATAAAATCCGAAGAATAGCGTAGTATAGATGTGTCCTTGGGAATAAAATTTCCTTCTTCTCTTGGTTCTCATTGGCATAAGGCTCTAGTTCGACTAGCTTGAAGGTGGGCAATTTTGCTTAGCAGTAGGAATTTGATATAGAGCTGCAAAAGCTTGACTTGGCTAGAGGGGAAGGTCGGAGTTCACACCCGCTTTAATTTTATATGGATAGAAACCCCTGTAGTTCAGTGAGCCGAGGGCAAGAGTCATTCATGGCATGCTTTTTCCAGGTCCTATCGAACAACGAGAGA